TGACACTCGGACCGGCGGCCGCCTCAGGTCTCTCCTCCTCTTGCCTCCCCTTCCCTCATCCACCTGCTGGCCTCCACCACTTGCTGATGTTGCTAAATCTGTGGAATCTCCACCATAGCCACCACCAAACAATTCAGTTATTTTTACACATTTGGCAGCGTCTGACTGAAGGGCTTGTTTCTTTTTGGCCCTAATTTTTTCTGCACCTCCTTTCCTTTTTTTGTTCTCCATTTTCTTTAGTTCGTCTATAAGATTGCTAAACAAGAGGGAGGGTGCATCCGACCTCCTTGGCTGTAATTGGTCCCGCCCAGAGTCGATCATGACCAATTGGCCAATCCAACACCTTTCATTATTTATACCCTTCCAAAAAAAAAAAAAAAATCCATCGGCCCATAAAAACAAAAAATCGCCAGCGGCCCACCTTGCAAATGCCCGATATGCCCGATGGCCAGTCCAGCTATGATTATCTGCATTGCTCATGGTTTAACACTTAGTATTTTTATAAGATGAATTTAATGCCTAGATTTTAAAATGTTTTTTTTTTTCTTTGCTTGTTTTTAGCATGACAGACGAGTTTCCATTTGATGCCCCATTTCTTTCATTCCCAGAATAACTGTGGGCTACAAATGAGTTAAGGACTATTAAAATAAGAAAAAAGAGGTGTTATTAAAGTTTTTTCATTTATTTTGAAGGGTGGAAACTTGTGCGTAATGCTACAAACAAGCAATAAAAAAAACACTTTGACGTGTAGACATAAAACTCAACTTATGAAAATACAGAGAGTTAAACCATGAGCAATGCAGATAATGGAAAGTGAGACCAAAGTGAATCTGATGTTTAGGTCTTAGTTTCACAGACAAAGCTAAAGCCCTTCCTGCAGGATTTCCTTTAAAGAAAGTTGCCTTCTAAAAGGAAAATACAAAAGAAAACACACACACAACTTCTTTAATTCGACCTCAGAGCTGTGGCTTATTTATAATATATGTATTATAATGTAATGTATGAATTTAACACAGCTTCGTAAATTGTACATTTCTATTTCTTTCTTCTTCTTCTTTTGTCTATTTTTACATATGCTACGGTGGGTGCTTTGGTGTCTACCATATGAGACAGGGAGTGCTTCTAACAAACTTATTCCACTGCTTTCATCTGGAGCCCAAAGATCTGCAGAATAGTTTAATTGAAACCAGCGAGTAAGATCTTCTGGTTTTTGACTAAATTTAACCTGATAACCTCGGTAGCCCACTGCGATGTGCGCATGTGATTCGTCTTTAGAACAAAGGTACTGTTTTAGAAAACAAAGTTACACAATTAAATACAAAGGCCTGTCCTTACTTCCTCCTGCTCCTAGATCAAAAACTTCCAAACCCTAACCAACCGACCTCAATCACTCTGACTCAGCCCCCTCCTCCTTTAAAGAAAAAAAGAAGAAAAGAAATTTATAGAAAAGCTGACAGGATGCCACGTTGGATGGCATGGCAGCTCCTCAGCACATGTACATCAAAGAGAAAGAACATGAATTTGTTGCATATACCTAACTCCAGTCCTCGAGGGCCAGTGTCCTTCAACTTTTCCACCTGTCCCTGTTGCAACACACCTTAATATAATTAGTAGGTCATTGGCAAGACTCTATAGAACCTGACTGCATACTGAGGTGGCAATTCAGCCATTTGAATCATGTCACAGCAGCTCATGAGTGAATGAACATGGTGCAATAAAAGTACTTTTAAAAGTACATTTTTCCGAACACTTACATTTACTTAATTTTACTTGAGTAGGGTTAAGAGTTGCCATTTCAGCATGCAGTCAAGTTCTATACTCTTGCTAATGACCTACTAGTTTTATACAGGTGTGTTGGACAAATGGAAAAGTTGCAGGACACCGGTCCTCGAGGACTGGAGTTTGAGACCCCTGGCCGAGGGGCTGAGACACTATCATGAAACTTTTCCACACCGTAGTGCCAAATAGGATGTTTTTGAGACAGGAGTACATGATCACCCCCCAACAATTATCCTGATCTGCTACATTTCCTACGGCTTCGTTCCAAACCTTATAACACAATAGAGCCCCCCAATGTGGGGTGGTCAGAGGGGTGGGAAAAGTACATAATACCTACTACTAATTATTTTACTCATTTCATATCATTTTTATTTTTGATTTTAAGGGTAAATGAGCACAGGACCCAGAGCATGTTAGTTTGTTTAGGTACTTGGGTATATATATGGATATATATATATATATATATATAT